GGGGGGGGGGGGGGGGGGGGGGGGGGGGGGGGGGGGGGGGGGGGGGAGACCGAAATGTAAACTGGTTGCGGTAATCAGTTATCCACGGAAAGTATCATGTATCACGCAATTCAAAACTGTTTTTCAAATAAAAATCTCAGGTTGTCAGGACAAAGAACGGCAGATGTAACAGTCTGGTGCATTACGCTAGGAGAGACCACAGATTGACAAAGTGGATTATTGGATGGTATTCACACAATGTTGATCGAATACTAGGTAGGGAACTACTGAAACAACAAACTCCCTCGAATACCTAAGAAAAATGTGCCTAGTTCTGAATAGTATGACATACAAATCGTTAGATGCATTGCTGGGAGAGATGCGACTTTTACTGGGAGAGCTACAGCTAATTTATAGAATAAGCAATATGCAAACGCCTAAAAATTCTCACATTTTCTGAATTTAATCGGCACGAAACGCCACCGAAGAAATTTCAAAAAAATTAAGCTGCTGTCATCTGCTGACCGCTAACTGATGGAGAGCTGGTCAAAGCAACAAGAGAAGTTGTTGGGCAGATTGCAGTATCTAGGTCGACCCTGGAAACGCAGATGACGAAGGTGTGATGGAATTCAGGAAGAAAGAAGGTTGGAAAATTAGTCTAAAAATTACGGCCAATCAAAGTATACTACGTAGAAGGACTGTTTGACTGAGTACGTATAAGTTTAGAAGGATTCTTTAGTTGAGTACAAAACAAATAAATATGCATAAAACGTATAACATTTACGCTTATAAATGGAAATATATTTTTAAAAAATGACCAAATTACGAAAAGCAATTGAAAAATTATAAGTAAAATAGAGGGAATTGGGTTAATGGGAGCGATTCGACAATAAATGATGTGGAAGTGGCAAGAACGAGTTTCCGATCGAGAAGAAATAGTCCATCCCCTACAAAAATGAATGTTAGGCTCATTTATGATAATCTGGGAAAGATAGTACCAAATTTAAAAACCCATCAAAATTTTAAAACAAAAAATGCATAGGTCGAGAAAAAAATTAAAAACTGACAACTTCTGGTTTTGCAATGCTTTTATCAGCACGCAGTTCAATTTCTTCATAAATTCTGTGTCCACCGGCACTATCCTGTTCGGTACGTTGACTGGCTGTAATCACCAGTGGTCCGATTAAATTGAACACCGGTGCTCCGAAAAGTGCTGTCTCCGACTTCGCTTTGCGTACGTCTTTGTCGTCGCCTACAACAAGTCGATACAGGAATCATTGTTTTGAAAAGCCACTGCCTTTTTGGATTCCGTTATCAGTTCCCGTATCATCCGGGCATAGCTGTGTTCGGCGTCTGGAAGCATCTCAGTAATATCATTAACATGGGAGATTCCCAAACTGGATGTGTTCGGGAGGTTTTCACACTTTTGATATTTCTGTACTCACAGTTCACTCAATCCAGTGCCCAACAGCGATGAAACAGCAGCAGAACTGGAGCCGAAATTATTAGAACTATAATTTCATTTTAATACGAAAATATTTTAAAGTTGGAAAAAGACTGTCCTGGAATTTTTGTCTACGAGTGTTCTGAAATCACAAAAAAAAAAAAAAATTTGCTATTCTTTCATTTGTTTCAATAGTGAATTGGTACTAACATAAGCGCCAAGGAGTCAAATAATCTTTGAAAGAGAGCGCCACCAAGAGCTTGGCTAACTAGAAGTTACTACTATCAGTTTTTACAACTCGAATATTTTCAACTGTTTCGCCCTTCATGTACGGTGAGGAGTTTGGCCTCAGATTTTCGAAAAGGCTCTAATCGTATAAAGCATTAAAATTTACTCCC